TCATTCATAAACTCTTGATTCTCTTCTCTAAAAAGTAAATGATAATAACATGGCAATACTGGGATGAGGATTAAATGCATAGATGGAATGAATCTGTAGCACCTTAAACTGATTTAACATGTTGAAAACGGCATTTTACCACAAACTCAGCTGAGGTATGCAAAATATTTAATAAAAAAAGAATGAGCAAAGCAAGTTTTCTTCCTCTTGGTAAAAGGATAAAAAACCTATAACTTACTCCTGTAGGAATCAGAGATAATGGACTGATAAGGAGTTGCAAAAGAGACAAGGAAAATTCAATAAAACTTACAGAGCACATCACCATGGCTGATGCAATAACAAGGCAGAATGACCGAGGCTGGTCAGAGCCCTCCTGGTCAGTCAGTACTGACCACACCAGGCATCTGTCTGACAGACGGCTTCCCCTGTGAGGTCCGGTGACCTTGAACTCAATCAGCCCAAACTTATCACTCCTCTCCTAATCATTTCCTGCTCTCATTTCTGATTTCTGTTAACAGCATTACCATCAACCTGTTCCTGGGCCTGAACTGTAACCACTCATCTTTTCATTTACCCCAGTGTCAATAGTCACCAGTTCCTACTTATTCTGCTTCCTATGTTTTGGAACTCCATCTCTCTTCCTCTGCAGTTAATCATATAGCTTAAATTTTCTTAAATGGCTTAATGCTAGAGCATCTTAACCGATATCGCCAACCCACCCACCAGCAGCCTTCCGCCAAAGCTGATTTTCTAAAACACAGGTGTGACCATTCTGTTTTATTGTGCTGATGAGACCCTTTTGATCTGATTGATCTACCCTTCCCACCTCATCTCAGTAGCCAGCCCCGTGAAGCCCCTGTTATTCTGGGAGCATGCCATGCCCTTCCTTCCATTCCATGCTTTAGTCCCATTGCATGTGCTCTGCTCACTCCTCACTTACATATCCTCCACTGTCTTACTTATCCTCCACCATCCAGCTCAGAGCTTCCCAGCTACAGAATATCCTTTCACTCCTCCAAATGCCACAGCTCCCTACACATTCCTCTATTATGGTGGGCATCACATTGCACTGCTTTACACACACCCTTTGGAGTGAAACATACTTGGATTGAAGTCCCAGTTCTCCCACTTACTGACTGTGAAAACTTGGGCAACAAGTCTCCCTGAGCCCTAGTTTCCTCAGACGTAAAATGGAGACTATAATAGCTAATTTATAAGGCTCCTATGCATCATTAAAGATGACGTATATAAAGGTCCTAGCATAGAGTCTGATATATAATAGATTATAAATGAATGAATCAATGAAGGTGGGGCCTGAGTCTCAGATAGCCTAAAACGTCAATGCTGGGAAACCATACCAGCATCTTCAGATTAACAGTTATATCCTTGCTAATCAGGAAGTTGTCTCCCTCCAGCACCCGGCCTGCCCATGTATTCAGATGCATATATCTGTATAATGCACACATATTTGGGTATGTAAGTAGAGCAAGGTAACTACATACATAGATTATGTAGCTATGTCACGGTAATATTTACATAAATTGTAAATAGGCAAGTACAAAAAGGTCTGAAAGGATATACACCAAGGTATTAACAGTAGTTATTTCCAAAATGGGAATGTAAATTTTTTATATTTGTGCATATGAAATGTTTACATTTGTCAAGAAGGACCATGTACTATTTTTTCAATAAAAAGAAAACACATGTATTTATTTATTTTTCAAGGTCCCTACAATGGCCATATGTGAGATTCTATTAGGAAAACAAAATGTCTTAATCCCATAGCCAATGTCAATATTTTCTTAAACCAATCTGTGGAAGGAGAGCCTCCGAAGCAGAAGGAAGGGAAGGCATATGTCCAAGTTAACCTGTCAATTAGTTGGAAAGCTAAGTCAAAAAAACCAGTTGGCAGGGCCTAGGCATTCCATTTTTAAATGAGGAAATGAACCAGTGTTAGCAGGGCTGGGAGTTCAGGTTCAGCCCTGCTGAGGAGGGAAGGGCAGTGGCCCTGGGTCAGAAGAGCTAGATTCAGCTCCAGCCTTGACTTTATTTATCCTTTCCATTTTAGGAAGTCATGGGAGGTCTTGTTTCCTCATCCATTAAGTTGTAATGATAACGACTTCCCACAGCGCTGCTATCAGAGTAAAGGAGGAGTGGGAAGTATTTTGTTAACTCTCCAGCCTTAGGCAGGCATTGGTTATGATTATTCCATGGCGCTGCTTCCCGAAAAGCAAGAATTAGGAATGAGCTTTGGCTCCTAAACCAAACTTCCCTATTATAGCAACACCCAAATTATGCAAGGCTGAAAGGTCAATTTCCTTCATGTGTGCTATTTCCAGATGACATCGAAGAGACACTGAGCCTCCTGAGGCCAGTTCTGTCAAGGACTGGCAGCAGACAGCCCTGTCTAGCCCAGAAGCCTGGTGCCATGTGTGGTAGGCAACTGGTCAGCGTGGGAGGAAGGCCCAGGAAGCTTTCCCTTCTACTTTTGTCTGCATCTCAAAACGGTTTCAAACATATGAAACAAATATCTCCCTACATGTAATGGGCCTGAGCATATGCTTGTCTCTCATGTAAATTGAAGAATATAAGTGGCAGCTTTCATTCCTTGTCACACTCTGAATGTTTTTGGCTTCTTACATACCAGGCACCGGCTGTATAGTTCCCAACACCTGTTATCTATCCTCTGACTAATAAAAAAGTTTAGCTACATTGCTGAAATGTCAGAAGTAATATATAGAGCTGAGATTTTATAGGCCCCATTGTAGGAACAGGCTAGCTGGACTGGGTAAAAATGCCTGCATATATCTGTGATCGTGGCACGAATGGCACTTGCTATCTTCTCCATACACTCCCTGTACAAGCCCCTCATTTCAACCCACACAACACCAAGACTCCGTTTTTTAACTGAAGAGTTGGAAGGGACTGCATAGATCTCTTACACAGTGCCCTAATTTGACAGATGATGAAAAGGATACCCCAAGAGATGTCACATCATGCCCAATACCATATGGTGAATTAACTTCAACAGAAGAAGGGAATAACAAGAGCTCACAGAAGAAGCTGGGTCCCTGCCCATATCACGCCCAGGCATCTGGCCAAAGCAATTAATCCTGTGAAAAATAATGTAAAAACCCATGGCTTTATGTGGAAAATTTAAAAATACTAATGCCAAAGTCCTTCCCCAGAATATTCTGGTTTAATTGGTCTGGGGTGAGCCTTAGCACTGGCATTTTTTAAGGCACCACAGATCATTCTAATGTACAGTCAAAATTAAGAGCCTTCAGTGTAAAATAAGACACTTGGCAGAAAGTCTAGTGGAATATAGTAGAAAAAAACCTGAACTTGGATTCCCGAAGACCCAAATTTGAATCTGACTTTTTCAAGATCATGAGTGTGGTTTGGGAAAGTTGCTTAACTGCTTTTATACCCACCACTTATCCCTAAATCATTCCTTCATCCAAAATCTGAAAACCAGATGAGACAGGACTCGTGAATGTGCTCTACACACATTGAAATACTGTGAACATGTGAGGCAAGACCTACCGGAGACTTTTCTAGTGGAACATGTTTCTAGTAGTTGCTTGGCTATTCAAAAATTGAATTCAATTCAACAAATACAACAAATTCAAATTGAATGGCTAGTAGAAAATAGACATTATGTTAGGTGCTGGTCATACAAAGATGAAAACATAGATCATGTACCTTAAGGAGCACTCAGATTTGTAAAAGGAGGTACACATTTAAATAAGGAGATGTTACAAAGACAGCAAGAGATGCAGCTTCAAGAGATGGAGGCAGAACGAAGGACAAAGGAGGAGATGCTCACTCTGGAAGATGGTGGTCAGGAGAGAGAAAGAGATATTTGTGACAGCTTGAACAATCAGGTCTTCTAGGTGGAAAATAAAGGGGAGGGTTGCTCCAGGTTTGGGATGAGCATGTGCAGAGATACAGAACTGTCACTCAGCCACGTAGTCTGGTGTGGTTGCAGCGCTGAATAGTAAGATGGGATTCTGACCAGATCGTTGCCACATAAATGAGATTATCATTCCATGTAGATGGACATAAATCCCATTTATTTTGGAGAAAGCAAAATGAAGTTTAATTGTGGGTTTAAAATTACAATGGATTTAAAAAGAACAGAATTATTGCACTAACTTTTTAAGGACCGGGTTCTCTCTCTGAACCACAGGTAATTGAAGTTCAAAGAGTTGACGTAGTGTGAAGCCTCTCATTGGTCTCAGACCCAGAAAAGTTGCTAGGTTACTTTGCAGAAGAGAAACAAATAAAAACACTTTCCCAAATGAAAAGAAAATTAATAGTAAAAGAGGTATTTAAGGACTTTACACATCTGTAGAGCATTGGTGTGTGTGTGTGCGTGTGTGTGCGTGTGTGTGCATGTGTGTGTGTTTTTAACAGCATTAGCACTTAAGTAATAAAAATAACTAGGGTGGTTGGGTACTCAGACTTACAGGCAAAAACTTGTATGAAATGCCTGGTAAGGAGTGTCTAAGTGAGGAATAAGAAAGGTTAAAGAGTTTAAAACCAATTATAATTTGAAGTTCTTGATTTCAGAACTCTAAAATCTTTTATTATTTTTTTAAGTGTGATATCTCTTTAAGAGCCATTTGGTGTAATTCATAGCCTGATTCATGCCACCAGCTGCCTCTGATTTCAATGAGAAATGCAGAAAATTTATAGGGAACTGTAAAATGGGGACAGATTTTTAGTTTTCTAAATTGAGGTTTAACTGGCAAACTTGTAAAGGTTTAAGAAATCACTGAGCCAAGCTACGGGAAGCTGGTTTCTTTTCTGGTCAGAACGAATAAACACACAAACACATATCTAACTCACAAAGTGTTGGAAGACAGAAAGCAATGCTCTTTCCAGAGGAGGAACGTGAAAGATCAGCCTTGTGGGTGAACAGGAGAGTCACATTCGCCAGCAGGCAGCGCCCTGTGCAGGCGGCGGGAGAAATCCAAGCTTCAGTAGCGCCCAGAGCAGGATTTGCACAAAGTCTCCCATTTCAAGTTGTGTGTCTCCTGGAGTCCTGGGGAAGGCGCCCATTCCACCCCCTGCTCCCTTCTCAGAGCCCCAAGAATGGATGAGAAACCCCTTCTCTACCACACGCAGGACTCCCAGGTGAGTCTGCCCAGTGACAAGGTCAGATCCTCCCTGCTATTTGACACCGGGTCCCCAACAGGGAACGGTGCTCTCTCCTTCCCTGGCACCTACCTCATTTTCCTGCCTTGGGTGCTCCCGGCTGCCCGGCCTTGGTCCTCCCAGCCTGACTTGCCTGTGAGCTCGTGCCCGGTGTGGTGTCCGCGATGCCTTATCTTTGTTCTGAGGTCTCTGTGTGTCTCTGGAATTGGCTGGCATTCTCCATTCAGGTCACGCCTTCCTCTGCCTGCAACAGATCCCCTCTCCCCCTCTCCCTCTGGCTTTTCCTCTCTCCTCTCTCTCTGCTTTGACTTGCTTTTGCAAGGAACCTGACAGAACAAAATCTGTCTTCTTCCCGAAAAGATCTGTTCCTTCCGTTCCCTCCTTTATCCTGTGTGGCTGACTTCAGCCCTCGAGAGGAAATAACAGAGTGGCTTAAACAGGTATTTGTGTGTGTGTGTGTGTGTGTGTGTGTGTGTGTGTACAGAGAGAGAGAGTGGAAGGGGACAAAGTCTAATTTCTTTTTAGTCTTTTTTGCCAGATGACTATAATTTTCTGCTTTTCTTCAGGACACCCGTGAAAGAAAAGCAATTAAATAGAAACAACCAAGAAGGCATTTCTAGCATCTACACTAGAAGGAAAAAAAGTCTGAATCCCAGAGTGTCTGTCTGCAAATAACTACAGATTTCCTTGTGAGCAGAGCCCCAAATAACTACAGGTTTTCTTGCAATCAGAGTCACAAAAAATGACAGGTTTTCCTGTGAACAGAGTCACTGGCTCGGAATTGGGGGTCACCAAATCCTGAGGTTGGCTGGTTGTGCTTCTCCATGAGCAATACCTGTGGCATGAGCAATACCTGTGGTAAATATACCAGCTTGGAGTGTGCTGGGGTGTAAGCCAGCCCAGAAAGGGCCTATCGCAGCAAGAGACCTCACTGCCCCAGGGTAGAAAGACCTGAGCCTGTATACATGTCTATACCCACGGCTATGGAGAAATCAAGACTAGATCTAAGATGAGCTGAATGATAAGAAAATTACCCCTTCCACAACAACAACCGCCAACACTGAATAGGGAGAGGCACGTCTGGGTGTAAAACTCAAGTCTGACTGTGCACCTTGTCTGTGTTAGACACAGTGCTAGGTGCAAACATTGTCTCAGTTACTTTCACAAGCTGGTGAGGGTCCTGCTGTAATATTCATTTTACAAATGAGGACACTAAGGCTCAGAAAGGTACGCAACTTGACAGGATCATCCAACTATTTATCACTCCCTGCTGGTATCAGCACTAGAAGCTAACAGTTATTGAGCCCTATGTGTCAGGCACTGCTCTGACATCTTTATATCTTGCATACATGGCTAGTAATATTCTCATTTTTCAGAGGAAATTGCCCAGAGAGGTTAAGTAACTTTCACAAGTTCACACAGCTGGAAAGTATTGGAGGCAGAATTGAAGTGTTAGCCATTGTATTACACTGCCTTTCATTAATAGGTTATAATGCATATGAAATTACAAATGCACACATATAGCATTCATAGAGAAACTCAATTTGAGTCTTTTTGAAAAGAAGATTAGACTCAGAGTCAAAGTTTAGCTGTAATCTTTCCTTTCTACCCAAGACAGCTGTGCATTTTAGGCACAATACCTAATGTACCTGATTCTGTGTATTCATTCGGAAAATGGGAGTTACTCTGAGGCTTAAATAAGATTATGCTTGTAGAACTGTTTTTTTTTTTTCCTGCGGTCCAGGGGAGTGCCAGGGAGAGGGCATCCAGCCCTTCTAACCAAAGCAGCAGACACATGCACTCTCTACCCTCAGATAACACTCCTTTGGCACATTTTGGGGTATGGTGGCTTGACTCCACATTTTGGGGTATGGTGGCTTGACTCCACATTTTGGGGTATGGTGGCTTGACTCCACTGTAACTCTTACACCATTTTCTCTCCAGTTTCTCTAATTTTTAACACTTTTGAATGCCAGCCTTGCCGAGCTTGGCATTATCAAGAGGCTGTGGTTGTAGGTACAAGTATATGAGATGAGAGGATATGTTTGAACTTAGGCACTGTTTTAGCAAAATGTTTTCTGTTTCAGTCAGCACAGGAAAAAAAAAAAGCTTTTAACATTTCCATTAAGAAGACTCACAGGCTCCTCACACATCAAATAACTCTCACAAAACAACATTTTAATGATTTAAGTGTAAATGAATCAGAAACACATGGACGACATTTCTCTTGGAATACACAAGGGTTTTAAAACTGAAGGAGAAAGAACTTGGCAAGATGCAAACTGTGCTGGGAAGAGGGCCCCTGCCCAGTAAAGACATTCCCTTAATTCATGCTGCCACCGAGTTTGCCCTCTCCTAATTTAGGGCATATACTGGGAACTGCAGTCATTTGTTCTGGGCACAGAGGGAAGAGCTTGGGCGAGAAAGCCATCAGCTTCTTCTTGCAAAGTGACACAGAACAATTAGGCCTCCTGGAATAATGTTCTAGCCATGTTTCTTCAAGGCTGCCAGTGTTCAGCGGAAAGCATTTGAGATGTGTTCTACGCCAAAGTTCTGCCAATATATAGCAGAGCTGATATGTGCGCTTCCCTGGGAGTTAGCCAGGGCTCAGAGGAAATCTGCATAAAAACAGGAACTACATGGCTCAGGAATGATCTGCATGTGATTCAGGGCAGTTTTCCCCTGGGTTAGACTACACATTGTTGGATGCTTTTGATAAATCTCCCCGAGGTGTCACTAACAGACCATGGGTCATGAGGGGTGGGAGGAATGGAAGGGACATTAGGCTGAAATGAGAGAACTGAGCTCAGTGTCTATAGGCCAACTTGTATGTGCCCTTGGGTAAGTCACTTACTTTCTCAGGGGTGGGGGTTGAGGGGTGGAGGGGTGGGATCGGTTTGCTCAACTATGAAATCGGGGGCTGGACTCAATTGAGATCATAGCGCTTATACATGTGGATATGAAGACTATGGAAGGATGTTCTTGGGAGGGGTTAGGACGTTTGCTAGGCCCAGAAGAGAGTCAGAGTCCAAAGTAGCTCTGATGATCTTGACATTTGCTTTTTCTGTGCTCATCACAGGGTTACCATTACTCAGAATTTAATCATAGATATTCAGAAAAAGGAATATTTAAAAGGGTTTAACTAGTTTTTTTAAAGTTTGGCAAAAATGGTTAAAAAAAATTCATACAAGGACCCGACATGGTTTAGAATCATGAAACTGTAAAATGACTGAGGTGGGCTCAGCACCCATGAGTTACAGTCCTATAGTCTGGGAGAGGGATCAGAGAGCCGCCTACCAAAGGTAAATGCTGCAACATTCCTACCGTTAAAACAAGTTTTGATTTACACGTTCTACCAAACTATTTATCTTATGCAACTTCTGAGCTAGAGTTTCTGGAATTCAATGAATGCGTTAAAAATGTAAAGAATTTGGGCAATGACTTTTTGTTGGCAAGGGTCGAAATCCAGGCTTCCTATAGACTAAATGAGAAACTGACAAGTGGCTCCAAAGATTGTAGCTTAGAACTAACATTTGAGTTCTTCAGCACATGGACTGACAGCATGCCGAAAGTCCTGGCTTCTGAGCCTACCAACAGAATAATGGGGATAATATTTTTAAAAGACGGCAATCCTTAAGCTTCATCCCAGGAGATTCAAACTCAATGTACCTGCGGGTAGTGCTCCTGAATCTGTAATCTGAAAATCTCCCCAGTATGATTTTGCCACTTTTGGTATAAACAACATAAGGATACATTTTATAATTGATGGCTTCTTAGATTTGGTAAGATATTCTTTGTATATGCCATATATATATATATATATATATATATATAATTGCATGTAGATATTTGCATCTTTACAAATCTTTAGTATTTTTGCATCAATATTAGATCTTTACACATCTGTAGTATTCAGATCTTTATAATGTCTTTACACAAGACATTGAGGTTCAGAGAAACTAAACATGCCTGTGTGCCTGTAAGTGAAAGACACACGTCTAGAGCCCAGGGCCCCCTGACCCCAAATGCAAGGCTCTTTCTCCTCATCTGCAGATTTCTCGTACTTCTTGTGGACTTTGAACATTCATGTGCCATGCTGTCACGTGATTTCAAGATTTTAGAGAAGATAGGAAAATGGCTTCTATTTGAAAAATAAGTGATTAGGCTCTGTTATGGGCTGAATTATCATTCTCCTCAAAAGCATATGCTGAAGTTCTAACCCTCAGTATTTCAGAAGGTAACTGTGTTTGGAAAAAGGGCTTTTAACGAGGTGAATAAGTCAAAATTGGATCCTTAGAATGGGCCCTAATCCAATACAATTGGTGTCTTTATAAGAGGAGATTAAAACACAGATACACCCAGAGGGAAAACCATGTGAAGACATAGGGTAAAGATGACCATCTGCAGGCCCAGGATACCAGCCGCAAGAGAAACCAAATCTGCCAACACCTTGATCTTGGCCAGGCTTTTTTAATAGTCCCAAAAGACACAACCGTGAACTCTACAATCCCAAATATTGAAATTCCAAAAAATCAAAACCTCTAAAGTCTAAATCCCTCACATCTAAAATCCCAAAAATCAAAATCGCAGGATAGTTGTATCACATTAGGTGGAATTATTTACTTCGTTACTGTCTTTATGTAGAAGAAAATGGATTTCAATTGAATCCTCAGACCATAAAGACAAATTTGGAATGAGGTGTGATCGAGGTTTCTAAAAGTAAACTTCAAGGTGTTACCAATAAAGTTTGTTTTTTTCCATTCTGCCCAATGTATCTGGCAGAAAATTCAGACGCGTGGACTGGTCACGTGATACAGCAATAAAGAAAACATCAGTTTAAAAATGCATCATTTGCCTGCCTCAGCATTTCTTCGAGCTAATGGCATTCCAGGAGCTTTTAATGAGTTAAAGCCACATTTGCCTGAAGAAGCCAGCGAAGTTACTGACTGGTTCAAAAATAACTACGTGCATGATGGGCA